TTTTTCACAATTTCCCTTTCCTTGCTACATTTCTGTTCCATAATGCTGACTTTTTTGTCTAGGTCTTAGATTGATTTTCTAACTTCATTTATCTATTTATTTGAGTCCTCTTTAAGTTCACTGATCATTTTTAACAGTAGGATTCTGAATTCTCACTCCAATATTTTGGCGAAGGCATTATCTTTGGATTCACACGTTGAATTGTTGTGGTGGGAGTTTGGAGGTGAGACATTACCTTGGTTTTTCATTTCTACACTGTGTTTTGTGCATCTGTTGGCCTACTATTCCTTTTACTTCCTTGGGTGAATGGAGAACTTTCTGAAGTAGCAGGGTAAACAATTCAGCAATAAATCAAGTATTTGAATGTGTAAGAAACAATGGAAGCCTTAATCCGTCTCTCCACTAAAGTTGTGTTTGTGTAAATTCTGATTTCTAGGGGGATGATCTGGGAGCTTAAAACTGGTTGAAGGGTATATGGATTGGAAGTTGAGGACTGTTGATGTTGGGGAAGGGAGGGAAGGGAGATGATGGGAAAAAGTGGAAGTAGATGTAGGAGATAGTAGCATGAGAAGGGTCTAGTTATTTATTACTGGGAAATAGAGAATGAAAGAAAAAGAAGAGATACAGTCAAGTAACACATTGGCTGAAAGGAAATAAAGCAAAAACAAAATAAGATCAACAACAGCAAAGCAAATAAACAGAACAAAAAAACAAACATAAAAAAAGCTACTTACATTTCTTGTCAAAGAGAAGCATGTTTTTTCCATTGATCCTTCTTGCTCTGGTTGTTACAGAAATAGGTTCAGAAAGGCAGAGTTGCACTTGTAGCTAGAGCCTCAGGAAGGAGCAGCTGAGACAGCCAATTCTTTTAAAGAGCTTTGCCCTCTGGGTTGTTTTGAGTTTGAGCGGCCTCTATCTTGATAGGAAAGTGAGTTGCAGAGATCTTGGAGCTGGTGGGGCCACTTCTTCTGAGGTGGGGCAGCTGAATTGAGAGGCAAGGTCCACCGACCTCTGTGACTTTTGCTATTTTTTAGCACTTGGACCCAGTCCAAGCCACCCCCCTCTGTGTCTGCCTCTGGGGGTGGATTTCCAACCAGACCCTTGGTTTGGATACTTGGAGCACCCCAGGGTATGAACTTTTTAAGTCCCAGCCTTGCTTAGTTAGTTGCTTGTTTCTTGTCATTGTTTGCTATTAGGCAGCTGCTTTCTCAGTCAGTGGGAGCTAGGTGTTTTGCTTTTTAAATTGATCTCATTCAATGGGGCTCTTGTGGCAGGGTTGGGCGGGATTGCTGATCTCTGGGTGTTTCTTGCCAGGGATGCTCTGGTGACAGGTTTCAACATGGACAATGTAGCTGGCAGACCACATCTATGGTTTGCAATTTTCCATATCTTCCAGATTGCTCAGTCTCCAAACTGGCCTGCCTCCCAGAGCTTCAGGTGTCTGAGATTTCTGCCAGGGAACGTCAGGTATTTTGCTTTGGAGAATTCCCTCAGGCAGTTAGACAGAGTCACCAGTCCCCTATACTAGCATCCTTTAACTTCTCGGCTCACTGCACATACAAGGACTCTGCAGCCAGGTGTCTTGAGAAGCCAGACTCAGTCCACAGGCTCTCTCAAGATGATGTCTTTGGGAAAATGTGGGGTTGTCCTGTCTTGCTGCTGGCCAGCCATGCAGGAGGAACTTAGTGTCATGATATCCCCACAATAGGGTTAGGATTTGTGGGTGGTGTAACAGGTTGTTCCAGAGATAGTTTTGCTAGTCTGTTGCAGCTGCTGCTTGGCTTACCCTCAGGTAGTCTTCCCCCCACACCCCAGAGGGAACAACTAGGGGTGCTGCAAGCCATTTCTGTGCTGTCATTTTGATTCACCCTATTTTTCAGGTATCTAATTACTCTTTTATGTTTCTCCCATGTTGTCCTCTCTTTGGCTCTTCTGTAAGTAGCCTCTTCTTTGTTATCCAAACTCTTATTCACACGCCTCATGCAGGAAGCATTCATTCGTCTGCCACCTTGCAACCATCTTCAAGCTTAGGAAATTTAAAGAAAGCAAAAAGACTTACCATCCTTTCTTATTTCCTCCTACCACCCTGACCACACCTTCATTCTCTAAGAATGACCTTGTGAATTAAGCTCACAATACATGAAAGTGCATCAGACACAGAATTTTGAAACTACTAAATGAGAGGTAGGAAAAGCAGAGTTGAGCTTGAGGACAAGATATTACCAGACACCACAGGGCTCCTTTCTTTTGATCACCCTTCCAATGTGAGAAGGTTTTCCTATTCTAAACCTAGTCTAGGCCTCCATTCTCCTGGCTTCCAGCCAGCTTAGCTTTTGCATGCACCAGCCCACTACCAAGCCACTCCCACCCCTACCAGTTAAGGGCATCTTCACGCTCTGCAGGAGGGTCACCCTTCCAAATCACACCCTAAACCAGAGATAATAAGGTGCTTTAGGACTTCCCTTTCCTAGACATGATTATTTCTCCACCCATCCAAGGATCTTTCTGGCTGCTTAACATCTCAAAGAGGAAAGCAGAAGCAGGTAGCACCTCTTTGCCTCCCAGTTTCTGTAACTTAGCATCTAAAAGATGGCAGGGGGGCCAGCTGCTCTGTCTCTCCTTGTTCCAATGTCAGAATCTGGCCCTTTTAAGTGTTGATTAAAATATAATTTCCCTGTCTCCTCATCTCTCTATCCTGCTTCATTACTACCAATAGAAAAAAGAATCATCAATTGCGTACAAAACCCCTAATGGGGGCACTTTGTAGATATATCCCTTACAACTGCAAACCAGTGCATAAAAACTAATGGTTGGGTGAACGTATGAGGCAAAAGAAAGTCCCATGATTTTCATTCTATCCCAATATTATGGAAGTATATCCAGGAAAGGGGCAAATCATAGTTGATTACAATAAGTGGGCCAACGTCACCACAGGAAGTGCTTCTGTTTCCAGTGATCATCAGCCCAAAAGAATAAATTCTATATTAACTAGGATTATATTTCTTATGCAGACAGAAATGTGGAATTGCTGTCTGAGCGTTCAAATCTTAGATCATTCTGGTCTCACTTTGTAATTTGGAACTTGTTACTTATCTATAAGACTCTTCTTTATCCATAATCAGAAATAATACGTCTTATACAATAAAGTTTGAGGAATATAAGTGAGATAGGCATGTAAGGGACCCAACACAAACTCAGACATAGGGCCTTCATACACTGTCTTAAATTTTGAGGGAGGATCAGAGACTCTAATAATATCAGAGTCCGCACTTAGAGGGCTGGGAATGCTGCAGACAGCGTGACATGGACGGTGTCATGAAATCCTTTCACAAGTCTTGGGACACGGGTAGGATGATTGCCTCAGTACCCAGTGCAGAAAACTAAGGATTTAAGCGCTTTCCCACAAATCATGGGGCCAAATTGGTCCTCAAACTCAGGAGGGGATCTCAGCCCATTTTTTTTCCCATGGGGAATGTGAATCCAGGTCTTGGGGGCAATAAGCAGCATCTGGAAGGGTAGGACGGCAGGATCCACCCTAGAAGAGGAGCAAAGGAAGTTTAATGTGGAGTAAAAAAACCAGAATCAATGAACGTACAGGTGACCAAGGAGCACCTTCTACAGATTGGAGTGTGGATCTTTTGAAGTGGACAACTGGGCAATTCAGTGAGAGGACAAGTCTCCAACCATTTCACGGAACAACATGAGTAAATCTGGCAAGAAGCACCTTATAGAACTGAGAACTATGTGAGGCTCACAGAGAGGCTCAAAGAGATGGTGTTGCATTTAATTTTTTTAATTGTACTCATATGTTGAAAAGAAATGAAATTTAAGGATGTAGGATTATAAAAGCTCATCAGATACAGGACCCTCATACAGGAATAATGTAATTATGTATGGTTTGCAACATTGAGACTTACCCATGTGGTCCCATGAAAAGGCTGAAGACCTGTCCTCACACTGAAGTGTCCAGGTGTCCACTCCAGAAGTCCCATGCTACAGTCTGTGAAAGTTATTTCTTAGTCATAGGTAAGTCGCTTGATGCAGGTTTTTGCACTTCTCACCCTTCAACTTTGGTGGTAACAAACTGTCTTTTCCAATCCTGCCCCACTATACTTTCAATCTCATTACAAGGATTCATCTCACAAGAAAAACATGCTCACAGAAGACCTTTAATACTTATATTAATAAGAATAGAGGGAAGAAGGAGAATAATGGAAGGGAAGAACAATATATATTTTATGGAAATGTCACAACAAAAACCCCTGCACAACTATTTTATACTAATAAAAATGCTTAAAATATAAAAATAAAAAGATGAAAGTGAAGACTAAAAAATAAGAAAAACAACAGGAATAATGTATAACAATAATGTATAATTATAAATGCTGACTTAAAATTGAAGAAAATTTTGGAAAGTTTATGTGGCTTAGATATTAAAGCCCATGAAACAGGCATATTCCTTATGCCATTTCTACCAAAAGTTATTGCAGTTTTATAAGAAAAAAATGTCTTCTGAGAAAAAGAAAAGCATTATCATGGTGTAATTAAAATAAACAATTGTTGACTTAGAAATATAAATACAGTGAGGATTTGTGGGTTCTTAAGAATAAATTAGTCAGTATAGAGAGGTGTCACAAACTGGCCTGTGCTTGGCAGGCACATCCAGTTGTCAGTCCTCACAACCAGATGGAGGTAAGTAGAGGCATGGATTTGCAGATGAGTGACCTGTTTGCCATTCCACTGCTCAAGTCCACTTGCATCCACAGCCCAGCTTTGGGGTTGGGTATTGGCACAACAGCTGTAGAGCAATCCATAGAATCTCCTTGCCTTTCAAGAATATGCACATCTGAAAGAAGGTTTAGCTTGATCTGTTTGTAGTCAGAATGTCTGAATGCTTGATTATAGGTTGAAACCCTGGACAAGGAATACTAGGTCTAGTATTTCCTGTGCATCCCTGTATGCATGGCCATCCTAACTCCCTTGCTATTCTACATCTGCAGGCTGCTCTGTTGCTCATCAACATGATGGAAGACCCTGTGTCCCCTCACACTAAGGCATCTAATTCCCTCATCTTCATCATGTCTGATCATACAGACAGCAGTATTCTACCTGAGGAGGCCAGGAAGAATATTGACAAGTCCTTGAGAAAAGGGAAGTTGATAGAAGTGGTTTCTGTTATTAGGAAGACCATGGAGATAGCATCCAGAACTAAAGTAAACATTGCTGTGATGGGGGACTCTGGCAATGGTATATCATCCTTTATCAATGCACTGAGAGACATCGGACATGAAGAGGAGAACTCGGCTCCTACTGGAGTAGTGAGGACCACTGAGACACAAGCCTGCTACACCTCCTCCCTCTTTCCCGATGTGGTATTATGGGACATACCTGGCATGGGTGCTACTGCCCAAAGTATAGATAACTATCTGGATGGGTTGCAATTCACCCAGTATGACCTCTTCATCATCATTGCATCTGAGCAGTGCAGCATGAATCATGTGAAGCTTGCAAAAATCCTTGAAGGAATGAGAAAGAAGTTCTATGTTGTCTGGACCAAGTTGGACAGAGACATCAGCACAAGTGTCCTTTCAGAGGTTCAGATGCAGATAATCCGAGACAATATCCAGGAAAATCTCCAGAAGGAGGGGGTGCAGAATCCCCCCATATTCCTAGTATCCAGCCTTGACCCATTTTTGCATGACTTCCCAAAGCTTAGAGAGACGTTGAAAACAGACCTCTCCAACATCAGGTTCTCTGGTCTCATAGAGACCCTTTCCCAAGTCTGTGAGGAGATCATTAATGATAGAGTGACCTCCCTGACAAGTGGAACAGCCACAGAGGGTTTCCAGGACATTTCTGGCATCCAGGATCCTGATAATTTGGAGGAGGCTCTGAAAGCTTACCAGTCGCTCTTTGGTGTGGATAATGAATCTCTTCAGCAGGTTGCTCAGAGTATGGGAAAGCCAACTGCAGAGTACATGGACATCGTGAAGTCCCAGAGGTGCAGACTTACCATCAAGAAGGATGGACATTGTCTTGGGTATATTATACTACAGTTTTTTACTTCTTCACAGGTCTTAGCTACATACCATACTGTGGTGACTCTGTTGCCCACTACCTTAGATACCTAAAAAAGAGACGCTTACTTGAGTCAGTTGCTGAGGATACCATGACCATCTTGAGGAAAGTCCTGAATGACTTCATCATTTGACATGCTCATGTCAATAAGCTTATTCTTGGAAGAATGTTTGGACATCTGAAGAACTCTCCTCACTGTGTACTCCTCCTGTACTCCTAATAGAGCCAGCCCTTCCTCTCCTATGGGCTCAAAGTTTGTCCAGGTTAATGAACTGACTAGCCCATTGTGTACATCCCTCAGGAAATATCATAATGGGTTCTGCTCTTTATCATTTGCTTAATTTTATTAACTAAATTAGCTGGGATCCAGAACTAGGAGGCATTTCTTTTTTTTTCTTATTGCACAGTGTTACAGATGTTTTACATATATTCACCATTTCTCTTTGTTTGAGGCCTCATCATTTTCCTATGTTCTTTCCTTTCCATTTCTCATTCCCTGGCATGGAAGGAAGAACGCCTCTTCAGGAATGATTAGGACTGTATTTTTATCCATTCTCTGTAAAGCATTGCTGGTAAAGCCAGGATGCCAAAGCCAGTCTAACTGCCCATAAAGCCCCCCACTTTTTTTTTAACCTCCTCCTCATGCCAAAGACCATCAATATCTAAAAGGATATGGGAGATGAAATGAGGAATCTTTTAATGGGATTCACAAACTATTGAATGGAAGAGCAAACCTGACAGTTTTAAGTATCAAACACTACCCCAATCAGGTTGTCTCTAGGCACGGCCCCCTCACCCATTGCTTGTATATCCATTGTCTCATGTCAGACCCGGATTTCTTCAGCCACTCCTAACTCTATTGTTCCTAAGCTGCACAGCATCCTGCCCCTCATTGAGACACACTCTTTCTCAGACACAAACTAACTCCTTTCACTTGTGCCCAGAGTTTCCCCTCTGTTTTACTCATTCATTTGTTTGTCCATTCATCTAAGAGAGAATGTTACTTTGTTCTCCTAGAATCATACTTTTCTGTCATTTCATACCCAGTTGATGACCAAGTACTGTCAAATCAATCCTTTTACCATATTACACATCCATGTCCTCCTAGTCTTCCTTTCTATTTTTCAACTTAACCTAGGAATACCTTCCTGATTCCAAGCTCATATGTCTCCTTTCTGCCCCTAGTCCTTGTCTATCCACCTCCAATGTCATCTGCCATTATTCCTGGTTTCAAGTGGTTATTTCCAGCACAGCAAATGCCTACAGTATCTAAATTCACCAGACTGTTTCATGTTTCTAAATTATTGCCTTGATTCCTCTGTTTTACCAACAGTCAAACTAACTGAAAGGAAGAGGGAGAAGACTCAAATTAATACAATAAATTGAACAGACAGTTCTCAAAAGATGAAGTATAAATATCTAATAAATACATGAAGATATGTTCTAGAATTTTAGGCATAAAGCAAATCCAATCAAAATGACAGTGAGATTCCATCTCACTACAATCAGAATGGCTATCATCAAGAAAAAACCAACAAATACTGGAGAGAATGTGTTGGAAAAAAAACCCCGCATACACTGTTGTTGGAATGTAAACTAGTGCAGCCACTATGGAAATAAGTATGGAGATTCCTCAAGAAACTTAAAATAATCCGGGTCACACTTGTAGTCATAGCTACTTAGGAGACTGAGATTGGGAGGATCATGTTTGAAGTCATTTTGGGCAAATAGTCCTGGAGACCCCCATCTCCAAAATAACCAAAGCAAAATGAACTAGAGGTGTGGGTCAAGTTGTAGAGCACCTGACTTGCAAGTGCAAAGCCCTGAGTTCAAATCCCAGTCCTAGCCTTCGGCACATTAAGAAACTAAAAATCAAACTACACCATGTGTTCCTGCTATGGCACTCTTGGACAGAAGCCTGAAGGAGTGTGCATTAACATACAATGGAGAGATACCTGCTCACCCATGTTTGTAGCAGCACTATTTACAATAGCAAAGCTGTGGAACCAGCCTAAGTGCCCAACAACTGGTGATTGCCTAAAGAAAATGTAGTAATATATACAATAATATATATTCAGCAATAAAGAAGAATAAAATTGTGTCATTCCTAGGAAATTAGAGTGAACTGGGAAAAATCATGTTAAGCAAGATAATTCAGCTCAAAAAGATGAACATTGCATATTTTTTCCATTTGCAGAATCTAGACCATCAGAGAAAATAATAATATGACAGGATTGCAAAGGGGGAATGTTTAGGAGGCAACCAGTAAAGTGGAGACAGAAGGAGAGGGTGATGGGTGAATATTATAAAAATATATATAAATGTATGAAAGAAGTGGGTGATAAGGGAAGTACACTATGTATATATATGGAAATAGCATAATGAAATCCATTATAAACTGGTAAAATGGAGGGGCAAGGAGGCAGGGGAGTCAAGAAAGAGTAATATAGACAGGATAAATTTGATTAAAGTTTCTATCCTCTGTCCATTGTAATCTTCCCCCCACCCAGTGAGTTTTTATTTCTGTTATATTTTTTAGTTCTATGATTTCCATCAATTCTTTTTATAGCTTCTATTTCTTTGCTGGTAATTTTCATTTCAATCTGTTTCAAGATAATTTGTAATTACTAATTTAATTTTTTAAATAGTAATTACCTTAAAAACTTTGTCAAATGAGAATTTGATCATTGTACCTTGTATGCATGTATGTAAATATCACTTGAAACCCCTTGTAGAAGTAATTTAAACTAATGAAAAAAGTAAAGTATATTGAAAAAAAGAAAACCTACTGTGGAGTATATTTGTCAGTTATTTATTGGAGAGAGGATTAATATCTAGAATATATAAAGAGCTCCAAAGAACGAATAATCCAATTACTAATAAATGGGCAAATTAATTGAACAAATGGTTGTCAGAATAAGCACAAGTGGCTAATAAATACTTGAAGAAATTTTCAACATCCTTAGCCATAAATGAAATGCAAATCAAAATGACTCTGAGATTCATTCTCACTCCAGTTAGAATGGCAATAATCAAGAAAACAAACAATAATAAATGCTGGCAAAGATGTGGTAGAAAAGTTAATCATTTTACACTGTTGGTTAGAATATAAACTAGTCCAAACAATATGGGAATCAGTATGGCAGGTCACAAACTTAAAATGAAGCTACCACGATCCTGCTATACCATTCCTGGGTATATAACCAAAAGAATGTAAGTTAGCACAAATAGAAATACCTGCCTACCCGTGTTTGTAGCAGCACTGTCTACAATAACCAAGCTATGTAAGGGGGGGAAGGGTAAGACAGAGTAATAAAGAGGGTAAAATTAGACAAAGTATGTGTAAATGGAAGTATCACAATGAAATTCCTTTCTACAATTAATATGTTACTAAAATGTTAAAAAGTATGCAAATATGTCAACTATAAATAGGGATAATTTTACTTCTTTCCTATTTCTATCTCTTATTTCTTTCTCTTGCCTTATTACTCTGTATTGAACCTCAAGCAGTATATGAAGTGGAGTGAGGAGAGTAGACACCCTTGTTCCATTCCTGACTATAGAAGATATGGTTTTAATTTTTCAACATTTATACATTATGGCTACAGGTTTGTAGCCATACTTTATTATGTTGAATTGCACTACTTCTATTCCTAGTTTCTTCAGAGATTTCATCCTGAATTGATGTTGAATTTTCAAAATTTTTTTTGCATCTATTGAGATGATGATGTGATTTTTGTCCTTTTCTATTGTCTGGAATAGTTTGAGGATCATTGATGTTAGTTTGTCTTAAAAGGTCTAGAAATTTTCAACAGTGAATTCATGCAGTCCAGGCTCTTCTATATTGGGAGATTCAGTGTTACTGTTTCAGTCTTATTGCTCATTATAGATCTGTTTTAAGTGTTTGATATTTTCTTGGGCAAATTTAGGTAGTTCATATGTGTCTGCAAATTTGTTTGCTAAAGAAAGCATTGTGAAAGATGCTCAAACTTCTAAATAACTAGTTTCAGAATGGTAGTTATATGCTTTTCCTCCATAGAGCATATAAATGCATTATGAGCAAAGATGAATGTAGCTCTAAAATGAAAATGTTGGAGAGAGAGATAGAGAAAGAGAGAAAGAGAGAGAGAGAAAGAGAACATGAGTTACAGACTGATTTCCTAAAAGGAAAGATTGTACAGTATTCTCAAGATTCTAAGCTACCTTCACAATTACATGCTTTTGTCCCAAAAGAAGAAAAGTGCATTATGACTAAAAATGAGTGTTGTTCTAAAATGAAAACAGTAATAGATAGAAAAAGTATATGTTACAGACTTATCTTCTAAAGGGGAACTTTGTGGGAGATGCTCAAACTTCTAACTACTCTGGTTTCAGAATGGGAGTTAAACACTTTTTCCCATAGAGTATTTAAGTGCATTATAAGCCAAAGTGAATGTTGCTCTAAAATGAAAATGGTAATATAGAGAAGAGTTATGAGTTGCATATTTTTTCCTTAAGGGGAACATTGTGCGAGGTGACCAATGTCCTACATAGGCCTGTTTTACAATAAGAGTTACATGCTCTTTTCAGTTGAGCATGTAAGTATATTTTTAGCAAAATGATGTTTGTTTTAAAATGAAACTAGAGAGAAGATCTTTAAGTTACAAAATTCTTTCTTTCTTTTTATTTTGCAAAATTATTTCTTAATGGGGAACATTGTTTATGATGTTCCAGCTTCCAACTAAGCTGGATTTAGAATGGCAATTGTATGTTCTTAAATGTTTTTCCCCCATAGAATATGTAAGTGCCTTATGTGCAAATGAGTGGAGTACTAACATGGAAATGGAATAGAGAGAAGAGCTATGAGGAACAGACTTATTTTCTAAAGGGAAACATTGTATAAGGAAGTCAAAGCTGCTAACAAAGTTGGTGTTAGATTGGCAGTTACATGCTTTTTCCCCATATAGTACATAAATTCATTATGGGCAAAAATGAATAAGAACAGCTGTAGAATGATAGGAGCTATGAGTTACAGACTGATTTCCTAAAGGGGAACATTGTGCAGAATGTGAGCTTCTAACTAAGCTGGGTTCAGAAGGGTAGTAATATGTCATTTTCTCAAGAGTATAAAACTGAATTATGCTGAATTATGAGCAAAATGAATGTTGCTCTAAAGAGAAAATGGTAATAGAAGAGGTATGTGTGACATACCTTTTTGTTTGGTTGATTCTTTTGTTCTAAAATGGAACATTGTAAAAGGTGGTTAAGTCTCTAATTGAGCTGGTTCTAGATTGCTAGATAAATGCTTTTTCCCTTTAGAGCAGTTAGGGTTTAATAAGTAAAAATGAATATTTCTCTGAAATGAAAATGGTAATAGACAGAAGGAAGAGCTATGAGTTACATTCTTTTTTCCTAAAGTGGAACACTGTGCAAGATGCTTGACTTCTAAGCAAGTTTAGAATATCAATGAAATGCTTTCCCCCACATAGAACATATAATTGCATGATTAGCAAAAATAAATGTTGCTCCAAAATGAAAATGGTAATAGGTAGAGAAAAGGTCAATCAGTTACAGTTTCCAAAGGGGAACACTGTACAAGATGCTCTGCTTTCTAATTAAGC